TGCAGCTCGACATCACTGGCCTGCTTCCTCTAAATCGCAACTGAGGTGTCGTGTGTGCTTTTCGCGTGGGAAGCGGTCTAGCGTTCGTACGAAGTGCGTGAGCTGCGACGTCGGACTCTGCATTTCGGAATTTTTTCGGCAGTACCATACAAAGGCCACATTACCATAGATGACGCAGGGGGGAAGGCTGTTTCCTCATGAAGATGGCGAACATATATCACGTAAGTAGAGCAGAAATTTAATTTTAAAGAAATCTTTACACACGTGCAATGCGCGAAATCATATGAGGTCATTCGGCCATATGACGTCGGTAGATTACATTAGATCACGCAGGAGGGAAGGCTGTCACCTTATAAAGGTTGTTACCAAAAATTATGTAAATAGAAGAACAATTTATATTTTAAATTTAATTTAAAAAAAAAATCTTTACATGCGTGGAATGCGCGACATCATATGATGTCGTTCTTAAATTTGTCCTTACTTTTAACGTCATATGACGTCCCTAGATTACATTTGATCATGCAGGAACGAAGGCTGTCTCATTATAAAGGTGGTGACCAAAAATCATGTAAATAGAACAACAATTTATATTTTTAATATCATATTAAAAAAAACCTTACACGCGTGGAATCCGCGACATCATATGATGACGTTCGGCCAGCTGTCCTAACTTTTAACGACATCATATGATGACGTTCGTCCGATAAAGGTTAATAGATATGCAAGGGCAAGTATAACTAATCCAATGACTTATTTGATAGATGTTTTAACAGACCGTTTTCAATGATGAGTTGGCAATGTGCCACTGTTCATGAAATTGAAAAAATTATAAAAACATTAAAGATGAAGAATTCTTGTGGGTATGATGAGATCTCAAGTAGAATAATTAAACGGAGTGCTCCATACATAATTTCACCATTAATAATATATATTTGTAATGCTATTTTGAGTACCTGTGTATTCCCAGATAGATTAAAATATGCTTTGGCTAAGCCTTGTTTTAAGAAAGGAAATATATAAGAAATAGCCAATTACATGCCTATATCATTGCTGATTTCTTTCTAAAAAATTATTGAAAACTCATTTTCTCAAGATTAATTGCACATATTGAAGTGAATGATATTTTGGCTCCTGAACAGTATGGATTTAGGGCTCATCTTTCAACTGAGAANTGGATAAATTCAAATTTTATGGCACAGGAGGTATTTTCAAAAAATTAATTAAACCATACTTACCGTATTTACGCATGTATAGGCNTCAACTGAGAAGGCAGCCCCCTCTCTATTAGACAGTATTCCTAGAGCTGTCAATAATAAGCAGACTGTGGGAGGTGTTTTCTGTGATTTGCAAAATGCTTTTGTGTCAATCATGACATATTATTGGATAGAAGAAAGCAGTCTTCTGGGATTTGGCACCGTGTATATGTGGTGTTAACCGACGTTTCGGAGGAACGTATTGCCCCCATCTTCAGGGTAGAAGAAAAAGTATAAGAATTCTGCAAGCGACAACACCGTGAGAAACGGTAAATTGTCGCTTGCAGAATTCTTATACTTTTTCTTNGTAGACGTCAAAGAGTTGTATTGGGCAATACAAATAACAGTAATAAAATATCCAAGTGGGAAACAATCAAACATGGAGTTCTGCAGGGCTCGATTCTTGGACCTCTGCTGTTCCTATTTTGCAATAATGATTTACCCACAATAATAAATACAGATAATGATATGGTACTGTATGCTGATGACACTAGTATTATAGTTGCTGATTCAAATAATTCAAGTTTTGAAACAAATATTAATCAAATCTTTACAGATATTAATGCTTGGTTTAATGTCAATTTGCTTACCTTGAATCTCAGTAAACCTCAATATTTGGCTTTCCGATCTACGAAACATCGTAACATCATTACCCATATTAATTATGATCAGACATTTATTCCCAATGTATCAGAAACTAAATTTCTTGGTTTGATTACCAATGATATGCTGTCTTGGAAACAGCACATAGATATGGTCACCAATAAAATTTCCTCTGCATGTTTTGCACTTAGAAATATAAAATATATAGTAACATTTGAAACTCTAAGGCTAATTTATTTTGCTCATGTACACTATATTATGAGTTATGGGATAATCTTCTGGGGTGGCTCCTCTTATGCTAAAAAGGTGTTTATTTTGCAAAAGAGAATAATTAGAAATGTAACGAATGCTAAACCAAGACATTCATGTAGGGAAATTTTTATGAAATTGGAAATAATTACGTTATATTCCCAGTATATATATTCCTTACTATTATATACAGTTAATAATAAATATTTATTTAACTTAAATAATGAGATTACACAGTAACTTACATGTACCTATCATGAATATAACAAAATTTCACAAAGGAGCGTATATATCAGGAATTAAAGTTTTCAATCATCTTCCTCAAACAATAAGAAATTTGGCCAATGATGAGATATGTTTCAAATTGATATTCAAGAGGTTTTTGTATCATCATCCCTTTTATTCTACATATGAATAGTTTCAATACAAGGATGACAGAGATGGTAATCTTGATACCTTTTGTACAGTTTTTAATCTATAGCTTATTATGTTGTTTTAACCTTTGTCTTTTCTGTCATCTTACCTGACGGGTGTACATTTTACTGGATTTGAGGTGCTCAGCCGATCTTCAGTTATTTTATCTAATAAGATATATGTAATTATCATATTTTATATTTGTATTCATTAATTCAACTTTTAGTAGACCATAATATTGAAATTTGTGAAATGTATGTGTTATGGTGGTGCTGTGTAAGATTTTACGGGTTGTAATTCAATCGATCATAACTTGAACAATTTCCACTTTTTTGTGGTTTCATTATCACTATGTATAATTTCGTTTTATGACTGTTATGTTTGTGAAAGAGTTCTATTTTATGAACTGTTCTTGTGTATGTTTTGATTTAATAGTAACTTCTTCTACATCTCAGGATTGGCCAAAAATGATTTATTGAATTTAAAGAACAAATAATAATAATTCAAAGTCATTAGTGTAATTAAACCAATTCAAATTGAACCTAGGAATAATCTTCCTGATCAAGGTCTCCCTGGCTTGACTGCTGCATGGAGACCATCTGAGCTGCCGCCTGGAGCTGCTGCCACTGCTGCTGCTCTGCTGCAGCTTGCTCTTCTCGTGCCTGCAACAGATTAAATTGTGTTTCAGCATGAACACGATCACTGTATAAGAGACAAATTTCTTGATGAAATAATAATCCATGTCTACTTTGTAGGGTATAGTCTGAGCTACATAATTTTTCCATTTGTTTCAAAGGAAGTCAAAATATGAGGCAGGGGGAAGGGAAGTAACAGAAGCTACTCATGACAGCAAATACATTTTCTAACGTATTCATACATGCCAATGTCACTGAAAGCTATGATCACAATGTTTGTATTGTGATGTATAGACCCATTGCTAGGTACTGACCATGAAACAAACACTGAAATAACGTCCGTTGCTAGGTAACAGATTTTTAATAAGCAAACAATTGAACAGCAACAGAGTAATGGTGTTTTGTGTGCGGTCTGTGCTGAGATGTTATAACCAGGACAGTTGTAGGATATTCACCAGATGGTGAGAATGTGAGCACCTAAGATGAGGAATCTCCAGCAGTAGGATCTGTTACCAGGCAATGACTACTAGTGACTGCAAAAGACTAAGAACACTAAGTCTGTGTGTAACAGTGAACTGTAAAGGGTAGTCACAAGTCATGCATATATAAGTGGTCAATAAATTGAGTCACCAATCCGAACCCATCTATAGTCACATTCATTCCCTCACATGACAGTATGAAAGTCTGTATCCAAGCAGGGAGCACTGCTGTCTGCAAACAGAGAGGATCATGGCCACAAAGTCTGTAGTCTATATACTGGTAACATTATTTAACACACTCCGTGTGGAACCCAACTTCCTCTGGCATGAGTGATGGTAACTGAATGCCACAGTGCAATTCTGCCACATTAGCATGGATTAAGGGAAAATAGTGTCTAGGCATGTGCATTAGTGAGTAATGTGAACAGCACCACGGCTAAGAGTGTAAAGGCTGCAGTGATGGCAGAGTGGCGAGTGTGAGTAGTGGGGACTTTCAATTTTCATGTTCCATACAGCCCTCATACTATCTGTCCAAGGTAGAGACACAGCAAAGAGTTGCATATACTGTGAAACCCTCATTTTTAAGGTTTCTGTTGGGAGCAAGGGATTTGATGACTGAACTGAGATAATATTTAATTGAAATAATTTAACATGAGACTCTCTTAGGATCATTGAATTTGAATGGTATACAAGGTAAAACTTTAAGGCACATTAAATCAGAGTTCCAATATATATGGGATTCTCAATATCACATGCAGATCTAATGAAAATACATCATGAAGTCAGTTTCAATAATATGTAATAAAGAATTATAGGAGTGAATCAGCAAACCTTTGCAAACAACTCTTGCTGCTGTCGCAATAATTCTTCCTCAGGTATACCCAAATTCTCTAATCGAGTGCTCTGTCTTCGCCTCTTTGCTGCAACAGCCTTACAGTCTCTCAGTACAGCTTCTGCATCTGCTCTGTAGTCGCCAAACCCCAGCCGGTCCAATGCTGCATGTAACAGCAAAATAAATACCCTCTCAGCTTACAGTAAGAGTTACTTTCTTACAAGGTCTGATTAAATAAAAAGTATCAACTGAATATGATCCAAACATAAATGACATTCTGCAAGGGCACAACAAGGATGACAGTCTCATATACTGTTGCATGTTCAAGCATGTTTACAGTTAATTCCACTGTTTCAGCCATTTGTGGACAAATATCAGAATGCTTCTGTTGCATCTCAAATTAATAATGTCCGGAGGTAGAGAACAATGTCTGAAAACTATATACATGGTAATCAAAACTTGTCAACTGACACAAATAGTATTTGAATATGCAATAATGAGTCAAGCATGACTCTTTTGAGCATTTCTTTTGCATTATAGAGGGAAGTCTATCTGTCTGAACTGATGATCATTCTGGATGCCCACTGACCAGTACAACTAAGAATCAGTAGCTCAAGTGCGTTATGACTCGTGTCACCCCATTCAGAATGGAGGCTCAGAAGTAAGGGCTGTCTCAGCTTGATAAATAATTTCTGTCAAAGAATAGAAGAAGAACTACTTGTCTGTGGCTTAACTTGCTTCAAACTGAAGAAACTGATTATTATTATTATTATTATTATTATATACAATATACAATATTCTTACAAATATTCCAACAAGTAAGTAAATCTATTCATGGAAACAAACTTCAAAATGATGTTTAAAACAAAACAATACTATAAAAAACTTCTTCACACATCATCAACCACCAACAAACATGAAACCTTGAGGATATATAAACATATGTGAATAGACTTCAAAATAGCCTACATGGGAAAAATAGGACACGCACTTTACATCAGATATAAAGAACACATAAGAAACACAAAAATACAATAAAGATGGTGCTGGTTACACACCACACATCCTAAATAACTTTCATCAGTATGGAGAAACAAAAGACATGTAAAAAACAGACTCGGCAAAAGGTCAAATAATGGACATAAATGAAGATATCTGTATCTACACTCAGACACACAAGGCTACATATTATCAATACCTAAACAGTCCAACACTCCAAGCACCAGGAATCACAACTAGGTCACAGAGCTGCTTCTTTTCAGTAAATATTTAGCAAACATATTTTTAACAAGAAATATATCATGAAAATAATTCAGAAAGAGATGGAAACCCTGATACCACTGTTATATTTGCAGACACTAAAAAAAAAAACGATTATGAGACAACAAAGTATATTGCACAACCATAATCACCTAGAGGGGGGTGGACAAAATAATGGAGTAAAAGTAAAAAGTAATGCTATCCCTGTAACAGGCCGTGGAGGCCCACTGGGTTGTGAGACATTGAGGGTTCCACATTAGCTAGACAATTGGCTCAAAGATGGCGGTAAGGTTGTCAGCCTTACGCACCGGCCACACTTTACTCCCCAGGAAAATTATTTAATTAATTCCTGGTACTCATTTCTGTTAGAGGCTGAGTGAATCCCAGGGCCACAGTGCGGCTGGAAGAATTAGGTCAACTGAAAAAAATCCAATGACCTCATCGGGACTTGAACCCGCAACCTTCTGGCTTGTAACACAGCCTCTCAACCAACTTTGCTTCCAAGTGCCCCTTATAATGGAGACACTTAGAAATTGAGGAACAGAATTTATTTATGTTGGCTACATTGAAAGAACTTCAGTTGGAAACACAGAATGCTCTTCTTCCATTTGTTTACACTCTGTAGTGCTCATATCAGTGCATAAGTCATTGCGCTGAGTGACAGTCTGCCTGAAAGAATCGGAAAATGGGAGACTTGCCCTACCTTGAAAGAGGACAGATCATTGGTGTGTGTTAAGCTGGAGCATCCGTGACAAAAACTGACACATTATTAGGTGTATCAAGAACGAGATTTTCTGAGCTTATGGTGTCATATATGAATTATGGGAAGACAACAACAGTGAAGAGGAACAGTGGGTGAAAATCAACATAGATCGTCATACAATGAGGATGGTTTTGAAAAATCACAGAACTACTGCAGCACAGATGACAGGACAGCAGAGCTGAATACTCATCCAGAAGACACTGTTACACAAAATTTGTAAAAAGTTGGCTTCACGAATCCAACAGCCACGGTAGGGGTGTAACTGCTAAACCTCTGATTACTGGAAGTAATACTCATATGTGTAAATGGTGGTGTCACGACCATAAAACCTCAACCTTAGGCAATAGGAAATGTGCATGTGATATAGTCGCATGAGTTGTCCTTCACTGCTGTTCCTGACACCAGGAAGAGTTTACATATGGAAAACACCCAAGGAGGCCTACAATGGGGAATGCCTGGTTCCAACAGTGACACACAGAAGGTTCTGAGGGTTTATACAGCAGTATCATGATATTCTGTTGGTCCCATTATTACTCTTCATAGCCGAATTATTGCAAGGCAGTACGTGGACAGGTTGGGTAATCAGGTGCAGCCCATGACCCAGACGTTATTTCTGAACGACACAGACTTCCAAGAAGACAATAGCACAAAGCTGGAACTGTTCAGTCATGGTTAGAAGAGCATGAAGATGAACTTCAACATCCTCCCTGGCCAGCACAATCACCAGATTTGAACATCACTGAAGCACTCTGGTCAGTATTGGGGACTACAGTGGGGAACAGATTCCTGCTTGAACATCCTTAAAGGAACTTGAAGATATTCAAGAAGGATGGTATAAAATTCTGCTAGGGACTGTTCAAAACTTGTATGGAGGGATGACGACGACGACGTTAATATGAAATGTGTGAAGTATTTTTAGTGTTTCCATTATTTTGCTGAACCCCTGTACATCTGTGAATTTTAATACAATATTGATTTAAATATTACAGATTTATGACTCCAATTTTAAACCCTTGTTTTTATATATGTGAACTGTAAAGTTTCCTCTTAATATGTGCCCCTCCTGAGGATGGCCTCACGAGACCAAAACGTCAGGATATGAACAACATAAAAAATAAACCATATACTCAGATGGTGATTTACATGTAACTCTAATATAGATAATATATTGAAAAAATAAACCCTATAAAAATAGCTCATTATTTTCTTTGATTACAAGGGTGTTGTGTGCTATGAGTAACATCCACAAGGTAAGAAAATTAAGAAACATTTCTATTTTCATGTGTTGAAACATCTGTGAAAAAGAAAATGATAACTGGCCACAAAATTGTGAATCCAGCAAGTGGTCACTTCACCAAATCAGTGCATCTGTCCACTCAAATGGAGTTTACACAGAAAGTATTATATGAACATGTTATTCTGCAAATGAGACTGCCTCTCTGTCCATCAGTATGGCTTGTATTACTTTCATGTATTCTCTATATTTGAAAACATTTTGAAATGTTTCATGGCCTGTAGGCAACTGAATGCAATGCTGTGCAACACAATGGAACTGCTCTTTGCAATGTGCAGTCCTCCACATTATTGCAGATCCATCACACTGCACTGACAGAAGGAACCTAAATAGCTTTAAAATCTCTCTACACCTATAGTCAGCTACCAAATATTCCTGTTGTCACAAAAAAAAAAAATATATGTAATGCTTTGCTGACTTCACCAATTCCAAAAGCAACTATAATCTGCCATCTCTGTGAAAGGATAAAACTATATTTTAAAAAATTCATTACAAGGCAGTCTGAGAGACAATGGATTACAGTACTCTGCCCTTAGGTCATGTTGTATTGAGCCTACTTTATACAGTACAATAATGTTTGGGTTTCCTGCAAGTTGGAAGTCAGATGTTCTTCCCATCAAATCAGGGCATGAAGATTCAGACTACCGGCAAAATTAACAAACCTGTAGCCCAGTATATTACAAGTAAAACTGGCAAAGAATACAGTATATGCTGGAAAAGCTCTACACTGTTATGCTTGCATTTCTCACAACTCTACAAAAAGTTTACATTCATATTAAATTCTTTCCTAGGAACAGAATAAACTTTCAACTTTGAATACCAGTCTCCTAAAGTGTGAGGAATTTTAGAGAACGTTCAATAACATCTAAAAAAAACATCTAAAAGTTCAAGCCTATCTCTGGTGTTCTGGTACTCTTCAGTGAGTACTCAGAATTTCAATTAGGTTTCCATTTTGACCAGTAGCAATGCAATCAATGCGGGTCTTCAGCATTCTCCTGAGAGCATTTTCAGCATCTGCTGTAATGTAGGTAGATGTTATTTATAGTGTGTCAGGTTATAGCTATGTTGGCTCCTCAGCCAGATTTGATAGGGAAATGTCTGACACTCCAGCCTTGGCAGTTCAATAATAGTTGCAGAGACCTATGATCATCACACTGCATCATGCTCATAATATATACATACACAAGAAATGCCAATGTTTCACTTAAACATCAGAGAAACTATCCATGCCTATAATAAACCTGCACACTTTGAATATATTAACCTTTTCACAAAAAAAAAAATCAAAATATCTTCCAATTCTTATTATAATAAGTACTTTAGATGGTACCATGTAAAACATGTTCAGCATTTATGGTTTTCTTCTGCTGATGATTGCAAATGTCATTTGCTTCTGACGATACTAGGTGAATAAATTCTGTGCAGCAATTGAGAATTAGTTCACGTGACTCATTTGCAACACGGATATTTGGCAAAAGTTCTTTGATCATTTTGTTGAGTGAAGCCCGAGGCAAAGTGAGCTCTTCATCATCATTGGCTGACACTGAACCTGAAGAAGCCATTCTAATGAAACAAAAATTAAAAAGAACACGAACAGCAAAATAATTTCACTCTTCTATGTCACTAATGTAATTTTGGATGTTTACCCACTGTACGTTACTACAAGCTCTGCTGCAGATTTAATCCAAAGCAACATAACATATCTCTATTTTACTTTCGCATATATATTACTTCGCTGCAGTCCACTAAAACACTACAATTCATAACACGTAATGCCGACTATATTTTAATTTGTCTTAGGCGTATTAACGTGATATGACAAATACTATCCTTGTTGGACGTGTAACTTCCCACCGTAAGGGAAAAACAAATGAGAGTCATATGTTGGTACTCATGTACGTTCTTTAAGATTTTGTGCAAGTGAAATACACAATATAAGCAGCTTGTAAAATGAAAGTTTAACATGGAAGAGACGTACAAATTATACGAACACAACAAAAGTAAATGTTGCTTCTCAGCGACACAATACAACGTGCTTTAAAGACGTAGAATAAAACTCCCTCACACCAAATGTTTCTCTCACCTCCGATCCTCAGATTAACAACATGAAATTAACCTACGTAAAAATATTTCCCATAAAATTCCCGCCAGTATCAAAAGACCTAGCTATTCCCCGAAGTGGGTAAATTTTAAGCTTGAGATGTGTTACTAATTGGTTTCAACACGCATTCTGAGTCCGTGAAAATTACGACATTTAGCTCCGAGTCTATTTTTCGATGATTTCTAGTGTTTCACCAATTGTTGTTAGTGCTTCCACTATCTTTTTTTTTTTTCCCCTTGGCACTACAGCCCCAATGGGCCTAGGTCTACCTCCATGAACTTCTCCGTTCACTTCGGTTTTTCTCGATCTTACACATTCGGTAGGACTCCTTGGGCGGGTGACCAGCTAGTCGCAAGGTCTCTGCCTGTACACAAACACAGAAAAACGCACACACACAAACTAAACATCCATGCCCTGAGTAGGATTCGAACCCACGACCCCGGTTTCCAAGCAAGCGAAGACAGTACATGCCTTAGACCGCTCGGCTTTTCACTATTTTAGCTCTCCTAAATTTCCATCTAATACATTTATATCTGTCAATGCTAATGCTGTGTATGAATGGCTTGTTCTGTATTTTTGACACTTACTTATTTATGGAGCTGAGTCCTTCTTGAGGAGAAGCCATATTTCCAGCTACTCAAGAATTTCCCAGAATTTTGTGGAACCCGATGGTTCATTACCGTGTTCACAAGAGCCCTCCACTGGTCCCTATCCTGAGCCAGATCAATTCAATCAATACCATTTCATCCTATCTCTCTTAAGATCCATTTTAATATTGTCCACCCACCTATGCCTTGGCCTTCCCAGTAGTCTCTTTCCTTCTGACTTTCCCACCAATATCCTATACGCATTCCTCGTCTCCCCCATTCGTGCTACATGCCCAGCCCACCTCATCCTCCATGACTTGATCGTTCTAATTATACTTGGAGAAGAGTACAAGTTATGAAGCTCCTCATTATGCAGTTTTCTAAACCTCCTGTCACTTCATTCCTCTTCTGTCCAATATTTTTCTCAACACCCTGAGTCTATGTTCCTCCCTTAATGTCACAGACAAAGTTTCACACCCATACAGAACCACAGGCAAAAGTATGGTTTTGCATATTCTAATTTTTATGTTTTTGGACAGCAGACGAGAAGACAAAAGGTTCTGGACTGAATGATAGTAAGCATTACCCGAGTTCAGCCTTCTATTTATTTCCTCCTGAATCAGGTTTCGATTTGTTATCATTGTTCCCAAATATCTGAATTGTGCCACATTTTTCAAACATTTGTTATTTTTGAGACATTGCAGTAAAAAAAATGAAGACTAAAAAGCGATAAGTGGATCTTTTTGAAAAGAAACAAATTTATATAGGCAAAGAGGAAACCGCCTGTTCAATCAAGCACTGAAGCAATAATTATGGGCTGCTTTTGATGACAAAAGCTACACAAATTTCAATGAACTGGCATACCTTTACCAAAAAGAAAGAAAAAAAAAATGTGTTCTTTGAAGTTTCCATACCAGAACCACTTATGAGTAGAAGATGTGGAATGATATTTCCCGTTTCATTTCCATGTTAAGATCCATTTCGTTTATTATTTTACTCACTTGTATCACAACTGACAAGAGCCATAGAAGATTCCATCAGGTGTGTGTTTAATTTTCCAAAATTACAGTCTGTTTCTTTGTGAATTTGAAAGGAGGCCATTAAGATGCTTTAGATAATTTCATTTGTGCTAATAAAAAGTTTTCCCCCCATTTTTTGATCATGTATTGAGTGGCCCAAGGTAACAAAAGGTACCCAGTATATTCATTCCTCAGGCCTCATTGCATATTTTTAAAATTTTGGTAAAAAAACAATAAAGAAATAATTAATACATGTTAGAGTAGCTAGAAGTGCTACGAATAGACATTTTTATGGTTAATGAAAAACATTCTGCTCAAAGTGTCCCCTATACATCCTTAGTACTGTTGCCTATTCGCCAATATACTGTATGTAGCCTTCTAGCTTTAAGGTACATAATATTTGAGAGCAGACAGGAGGACCAAGGATTATGGACTTCATGATAGCAAAATTCCTCTGCAAAAAAAATATTTCTATATAGGTGCAGTCTGTATGTTACTGCCACAACCAAATAACAGAATTATGCACATGATTGCAGGATATTTTATCTCATATTGGTTGAGGAACTTTGGCTTCTGCCAAATCTGTCACCTTACTAGTTATGGGAAGGTTGTCTGAAATGACGAAAAGCTTATGTATCTTGACTGGCAAGGAATAACTCCCCAGTTGTCTGGCTATATGATGTTCCTCCCATCCTTTGACAAAATAACCTAAATTGAACTCCAAGAACAGAGATAGTCATAGGCTAACAATCTTCCTCCCAAAATTGAACAACAGTACTACAGGAGCAAATTAAAACTGTTATTAAAATTTTCCACTACTGAATTGGTTGGTAATGTAACATTTTTTCAATTGTGGGGCATTGTTACCTGGTGGATATTCATCTGATACTGTTACAAGGAACTCTGGCTTATGGGTTAGTCAATACTGTCATAAGCACTTGCTCATGCATGAGGGCTGAATTCAAGATTATGTGCCTCACTTACCTGCCTATGATGGAGACGACATTGAATGTGCAGATGGTCACCACACTGGGGCTCATTCTTCAAAATTCAAAATAATTTTATGACATCATGAATATTACACTATCTTAATACTTAATACAATATGAATTGAAAAACACATTTGATGGGATGTGAAAAATTCCTCACACCATGAAGGAATTCTGATTACTCTGCGCAATGAAGAGCTTCATCATGTTCATACATCCTGCTACCTGTCACTATGCAGATCCAGATGAATCCAGTGAAATTCTCCCATACTATTTCATTAATTTCAGATTTAATAAATCCTCTAATCCATGCCTGTCATCCAAGTGCCGTCTTCCCCTCAGATGCTCCTAATAAAATATTGTAAGCATGTGTCACCTCACAAATTTGTGCAACATGCTCACCCATTATTTTCTACCACTTCCTTCCAGTTATGTTCCTCAGCATTTTGTTTTCAGATTTCAGCAGGATAGGTTTTTCCTCTAATCAGAGAGCCCAACATTCACACATACAAAGAAATATATATTGCCATATACAGGTGACCTTGATTATATTACCTTGGAAGCAAGACTGAGTGTTGCTCAGTAGAACATTGTTGGTTACTAAATGCCCAACAACACAGAAGTCTGTTCAACCAGTTTTGATAAAATTAACATTTCACATTTGGACCCCTAATGCGCCTACCATTAATTTCCTGAAGATACCACCTAAGCAGTTTTATGCAGGGAGGTGGTCCCCATAAATTGATGAAATGTAATCAGAATCGTTTTTGAGAAAATCACCATTTTGTTTTTGGGGTCTATGTGAAGGGCTCCTATTTTTTTTTTTTTGAGCTAGAATATTCATCAGGCAACAACTTACGATTGACAACCTCTCAAATACCGAATATGAATAAAATCCATCCAACTGTTCAACCAGTGGCAATGCATGTGTACAGAAAGACATAGTCACAGATTTCCAGAAATCACTTTTTCAGAATCAGGGCAGGTTAAAGTATGTAAATCCAAGAAAATCTTTAGATTCATTATTTCATCTTCACATAACTTTTCCATACTATGTATATGTATAAGTCCGAAACAGTAAAAATTAATTTTTAATTTGTACAATGGATAGCAGAAAGGAAAACAGAATTCAAAACTGAAAGGCAGTAAATTTCTCCCAAACAAAATATCTTAGTAGGTGAATTTTGTACGTTATTTCACTGCCAAATAACTGGAATATGAAACATCACAGGATATATTATTTCACATTAGCTGAATAGTCCCAGTGGAAATAATAATAATACAGTAATTATTTAAAGGTAAGTTTTTCTGGATACAGCAAAAAGACAATGTTTAAAACACTGTGTTTCACATGAAACATTTTGACTTGCTTTGTACCTTGTATACATAGTGCAATTCATCAACTTGCATCTTTCTCATTTGGCATATTTCTGTGGGTAGGCGCTATAAATTATAACTATTACATGCCTCTTGTCACCCAGAAAAGATCAGCAATATGCTATGCATAAGGATTTATTCCAAAAGAACAGGTTAAGTTTGGCAATCTAATAAGAACCAGTTCCTTCAACTTGGATGGTCACTGGTGGCCAAATCGTCTTTAGTTCCTCTTCCAGATTTGTGCACTAAGAAATATGGCTGTACTTCTGTTGTGAAACATGAAAAGAAGAAACCTTTGGGGCCAAGGCACAGATGGAGAGATAATGTCAGAATATCTGAATTAGTACTTCTGGTTCACAAATTCCCTCATAACAATAGGCCTGCTTCATAGCCCTGTGCAATAAAGTTCAGAGTAGGATTAAAGTGAATACACTGTGAACTGTGTCAGGAGTCCCCAATACAATATATATATTTTTTTCTTAATTTCCATAAATTGTACAACTACATGTATTTAAGTACAGGCAGGACCCAAACCAACAATGTGGAGCTAGGAAACATTACACACATACTTTATGAAAAGCTTTAAATTATTCTTATTATTATCACTTTCCTGTTTGCATGCCCTTCTCAGAGGTTTGAATTCTGCACACATGATCTGGCAGATACCTGGCTTCTCTTGTCTTTTTACATCAGCTACAACAAAATCGCCCATTGCCTCAGGCAAGTAAAGCTATTCTGCAAGTATTTTTCTACCAAAAGAATGATAAATTGTTCCAGCTAATCTGCCTGAAACTACAAAAGGTATGATGTCCCTATAGTTATTCTCTAGAACAAAATTTGTTACAAGCAGTGGTGCTATCTCAATTAACTAAACCTCTAATTAGACATGTAGTACAGGTAAGTTTGCAGATTACAACATGTACATTAAGTACTTGAAAATGTACTTAGCTGACAAAATATGGACCGGATTACTTTTTCTTTCAATTATTATTGCCAACATCAAACTCACATATACAAAATAATAATTCAAAAAAATAAACTGGAAAGAAATTCTGTGCTGCACTCTAAGATAGATGCTTTCATTCTCTTATTTACAATAAGAAGTTCTCTCTTGCAATGTAAAATGGACAGTATATAATTTACATAAATTCTTCTTCAGTCTGGAGGGAATTGCTCAAAAACGAAGCTGAGTGAGTGCGCACATTAGAGTGACTAGATGAGTGACGCATAACACGTTGAACGCAAGGTCTTACTGCTATATTTGGCTGGAGAAAAGCAGCAGTCCACAATCTTGCAGCAGGGAAAATAAATAGTCACTACTGCCTTGTCCAGGTGCGAACAATACATACAATTCATATGAATGATGGTGAAGTGCACCTAAGAGTATGATTCTTGTCCCTGTTTTCTGCTGCCAATTGAATAAAGACTAAACTTCTCTTTCCACATATTTCACCTCTTGCGTGAAGTGCACTTTCATTGAAACTGCGATTCCCAGCAGGTGGAAGAGTCATGCTGCTTACGCACAATTAGAGGAGGGTAGGAGGGATGTCCCAACTTGTGGGAACAGATCTACAATTATATGTAGCAGCATAATGCAACACAGTGCCTTTTCTGAGCAATCAATTTGGTTGAGTAATTTGAAGTCAACCTCTAATAATCACAAAATAGTAGTAAGTACTTTTCCATGCCTATATGTGCTACAAGAAATTGGTGAACATATGAGTTGAGGTCCCTGCCTATAACTGCAACTGTAAGTATCAGTATATTAACAAAGAATTGATGATATGCGGCACTATGAAGAGCATTATTTTATCATACAGTGTTCTGCCTCCTAGACATTATCTCTAGCTGAATCATTTTGTGAGAGAACAAAACAATATAGTCTCTGTACAAAAAAGTATTTGATGTTCTGAAAATGAAGCAACAATAATTATGTACACTGGCAGATACTTTTAAGTACACGTGTAATAGTAGTAATACTTCTCAGTTTCAATCTCAATATTCTTTCAGATGTATCACATTACAAAGCAAGAAAAAAATCAGAATTCAAGACAGAACATTAAAAGCTTGAAATTCATGTTTCATGTTAATTTAAGGCAGCAGTTCATCCAAGTCAATAACAATGGTGTTTTTCACAACTGAATAGCAGTATGGTATGAAACATACAAGGATGGTCCCCATGCAGTCACACATATATAGACTTAAATATACAATGAAAGTTTTCAGAACTCCAAATGCCTTATGATGAGTACTTTTTGTTTTAATTGACAACATATATTTAAAATAAATATATATGTTTTCTGATCAAGAGTTGACGGTTGTTACATGTTCAGTCATGATAATGGTTAACCAGTCTTGTCATAAGCAAGAAGCTTTGGTCAAACTGCAACAGAAACATAGCATCTGGAATGTATAAATACCATCTCACTATATTACTTTGTCATCACAAGAACTGAACAAAACAGGTTCCAAATTTTGGTAACTTTAGACAAAAATACTGATATACCACCACCATTCTATCAGCTAGTGATTGTTATGCGCTCATACCTTTAAGTCACTGCATGACAGGTCCCTAAAAATGCCTCACTGCAGTTAATAATTTTTATGTCAGAATAAAAAAAGTGCACTCATACCTTTAAGTCACTATATGACAGGTCCCTGAAAATGCCTCACTGCAATTAATAATTTTTATGTGAAAAAAAAATATGCTGCAAAATAAGAAACCCCTACTATGAAACAGAAGTGTGTTGTGCAGTATGTCAATTAAATTATAGTGAATCAAAACCATCAGGTAATGAAATTACTCTGAATCAAAACCATCATGCACTATGTTAAAATAAAAATAAAATACTACTAATTCTTATCTATTATTTATCTATGCCCAAATTAATGTAACAATGAGCTTATGATATGAAACACGGCAGTAACATGAACGGACATCAGCTAATATACGATTTGTTAACTACTGGTAGTCAGGGAAGAAAAAAAAACTATCACAACAGCAACCACAACACAACCACAACAGCAACAAAAAAAGAAAAAAAAATCACATTTCTTCGATTGCATGATGTTCACTCATGTAAATCTGCATACAAAATGACCAAATTCATATAAAAATTATTATCAGTGAATGTAAAATTGCAATATATGAGCCAGTTATATCTTACATTTCATATCATGAAAATCACTCAGTTAAAAAGATACTGAAAAGACTGCCCAACTTCAGCCTTACGCAACAAATATATACTGATGATGCAAGTCAATTCTGCTTCCATTAACTGTCCCATTCTGCTGTCATGAACATAACAAAGCCAATCATCACTGCAGCTTTAATACTGTATATTCTGTACACTTACAGTATTTAACAACAAAAGTAAAATATTTCAGAGATAAGAGGGCTGTGTCATAAAAATAACTTCTATCATTTTTTGATCATTTTATGGCCGTATATAAAATGCAAGGACTGTTAAATTCAGAAACATAATCAGTAGAGTCCACTGTTCATGCAGACAATGAACGCCCTCCAGCTTTCTTTGCAAGTAACAATACTGACTGACAAAAAAGAAATTGCTTGAAGCCATCAACAAATGAGTCTTAGTTATCGTCCAGGGCACAGGCTGCTGTTACATAAACATACCTGATGGCATTATCAAGTCAGAGAGAAATTAATCTTTAAAATATATTCAATTAGTGAAAGATCAAACTTTTGATGCCATATTGCTTGTACATAGAAAATCGAAACTTGCACTTAGATATCACTATTAAAAACCCTTGCATATATATTTCAAAGGAACTAATTTTGATGCTTTTCTCACAGATTAACCTTCATTCCCCCAATGATGTCAGAGCCCTCACATCACTAATTTTTATTACACTCTGTGCCAATGATTTTTGTAACATGTTTCCGATATTATTGAGTGCATGAGGTCAGTGCGAGAACAACATACATTTCTGCCATATACTGGAGTGGTAATATTTCAGGTTCTGGTCAGAAAGTAATGTGAACAAAGAAAAAAAAAGGGTTACTCACGGTTTTGCAATGAAACAAATGAAAGTCTTCCATGTTTATTTGAGGGGTAACAGGTAAAACAACATGAAAAGGAAATGTGTCAAGAATGGTCAATGAAGAATCCTTATCATTTGTATACTATTTTTAAAAAGTGTTCATCAAAACTGTTTACATCTGTATTTTACTCATACTCCTGAAATATGAAAATAATTCTATATAAAGAGATGTGGAAATGAAACACTCTGGCTCAACAGATATACTGACTAGTGATAATATTATACTAAAATTCAAATTCATACTGAGCATAAGTATCAGTTGGTTTAACTTCAGTAAACAAAAGACATACAATAATATTTATCTTGAAAAATAAACCTATTATAACCAGTGAACAAATATAATCATTAAATTTATATGCAGACAAATAGTTTTGATGCTCAAAGGATCACTGTTAGGTCTCCTTATAATTAGTGTTTACAGTTTGTTCATTATTTCAATTAAAACAGAAGCTACTGTGTTTTCCCCAAAAGAATGTACAAGTAGTGTAAAATTACAGCATCATTACAATTGGTAACAATAATGAACTCTCATGTTCATTTCTGTATTATTATACTGCCTTTCATTCTAGCAGATTCACTTGCACATTTCTTAGAGATGAAAATCATCATATCTATAGAAAGGCCACCAATTTCTCTAGATTCAAATCCAATTGAATACCATGTTTTGGGATGAACTTAATTAGTGCACAAAAGCCAGAAAAAATTATAAATAAAATGTCTATTTTTAATATTCTCCATTGATACAATTATGAACCAAACTGAATGAATCTGTTTGTTCACACACACAGAGGTATGTTTTAACAACTTATGTGACTTTCAATGAAAGTTGTAGAGCTGCTTATTTTTACCATTACTTTAATATGAAATGTAGCACTTGTAACTATGAACCATAATCATAATGAGGTACTAAAATTGATCCTTTGAGGATTTAAATGTGTTTGTCTACAGGTGTATGTAAATGTATTTCTTGACTGGACAATGGCTTGGTGGACAAAAAGGATTCATTGCATATTTCAAGCCACACTATATGAAGGGACTTGTGATTAAACAAAAAACAACTAAAATATGTGAAAATTAGCTCTATCAAAATAAATTCTGGCTGACATGTGACAAAGTAACCACACAACAGGTTTTACTGAAGCATAGCCAGGACCAGACAATGATACTTTAGTACCTCTGTTGGAACTCATGATGCCATCTATTGAAGTCAATGTGGAATACAACCAAAGATCCTGTTGCAAGTCCAGCCAGTAGGAACCTGAAACACACAACAAAGCACATGATTCCCAACATTCAAAGAAGCAGGGTACATACTTTCAGCAAATAGGATACGCTACCTGTTGACAGATGATCTACTCTGGCAATTCGAAAACTATTGGAAAACCTACCTAATAACAGATTTTAGTTCTACTGAATTCTAAAATAAGTAACATTAAGACACTAAGAGAAAGGTAAAATTGTTTCAATTGTGTGATACACTCATTTGACACTGCAGCCAGTGAACTCTATTTATGAAACACTTGTGGGAACATCCCACATATTATCACAGCGCTCACTTTTCACCAGCATGCGTGCTAACCAATCAAATTGCATCTGACGTTCGCATTTATACAGCGCTTGTTGCTAGCCTGCATTCACATCATTACGCGCGCTAGCCAATCAGCACTCAGCAAATTTTAGCTCCATCACACTTGGTATAAAAAGGAGCAGCTTCAACCCGGCAGCATCAGTCAACGATCAGCCTGCTAACAGTCTACATCAGCCAGCACACTTCGTCGCCAGTGCCCGGTCTTCGGAGGCATTGGCGCTTCACTGCACCAGGCATGACTGCCACGGCTGTCCGGCGGTCACACCCGACTCACTGGGCAACTCGGCCGCCTCGATTCACCGGCAGTCATGCCCGACACACTGGGCAACTGGCATAGCTACCGCCTCTCCACTCCTGCAACCGCGCTCGGCAAGCAAACATTTTCCAGCAACCAAGCAACCTCCAGCAACGGCCGCACTGCGGCCAGTCAACTGACTCAGCCGCCTCAACACACCGCAACCAACGTCCCTTCCTACCGGCGTGTGCCGCGCTACTTCACCGGCCAAGCATCTCAGCAACCAACGGTCCTTTTCAGGACCTACAAAACTGTTCCGAAGAAGTGGGTTGTCATTGAAGTAACAACGAGACGAATACCCCATATTGGTGACCCCGACGCGATTGGAAGCGCGTGTGGCGAAGATTATTAACGACTCCCACATTGGTTCATCCTGGCTTAGCATGGATGCCGCAGACAACTCGCAAGCAGCAGCATCAATTCCCGTGAGGGGGGAGTGATGTGGGAACATCCCACATATTATCACAGCGCTCACTTTTCATCAGCATGCGTGCTAACCAATCAAATTGCATCTGACGTTCGCATTTATACAGCGCTTGCTGCTAGCCGGCATTCACATCATTATGCGCGCTCGCCAATCAGCGCTCAGCAAATTTCCGCTCCGCCATCACGCTTTGTATGAAAGGCAGAGCACAAGCTCGCAAGTCATCAGTTCATCAGCAGTCTTCAAGCAGTCTACAAGCAATCAGCACACTTTGTCGGCAGCGCTCGGTCCTCGGAGGCATCGGCACTTCGCTGCGCCAGGCACGACTGCCCCGGCTATCCGGCGGTCACACCGGACTCACTAGGCAACTCGGCCGCCTCGATTCGCCGGTAGTCATGCCCAACACACTGGGCAACTGGCGTAGCTACCACCTCTCCACTCCTGCAACCGCGCTCGGCAAGCAAACATTTTCCAGCAACCAAGCAACCTCCAGCAACGGCCGCACTGCGGCCAGTCAACTGACTCAGCCGCCTCAACACACCGCAACCAACGTCCCTTCCTACCGGCGTGTGCCGCGCTACTTCACCGGCCAAGCATCTCAGCAACCAACGGTCCTTTTCAGGACCTACAAAACTGTTCCGAAGAAGTGGGTTGTCATTGAAGTAACAACGAGACGAATACCCCATATTGGTGACCCCGACGCGATTGGAAGCGCGTGTGGCGAAGATTATTAACGACTCCCACATTGGTTCATCCTGGCTTAGCATGGATGCCGCAGACAACTCGCAAGCAGCAGCATCAATTCCCGTGAGGGGGGAGTGATGTGGGAACATCCCACATATTATCACAGCGCTCACTTTTCATCAGCATGCGTGCTAACCAATCAAATTGCATCTGACGTTCGCATTTATACAGCGCTTGCTGCTAGCCGGCATTCACATCATTATGCGCGCTCGCCAATCAGCGCTCAGCAAATTTCCGCTCCGCCATCACGCTTTGTATGAAAGGCAGAGCACAAGCTCGCAAGTCATCAGTTCATCAGCAGTCTTCAAGCAGTCTACAAGCAATCAGCACACTTTGTCGGCAGCGCTCGGTCCTCGGAGGCATCGGCACTTCGCTGCGCCAGGCACGACTGCCCCGGCTATCCGGCGGTCACACCGGACTCACTAGGCAACTCGGCCGCCTCGATTCGCCGGTAGTCATGCCCAACACACTGGGCAACTGGCGTAGCTACCACCTCTCCACTCCTGCAACCACGCTCGGCAAGCAAACCTTTTCCAACAACCAAGAAACCTCCAGCAACGGCCGCACCATTTAACTCAATAATCGTGTCAAATTGAAGTACAGATTGTTAAGACTTTTTTATTCCAAATGATCTGCAGAACATGCTCTTGAAGTCTGCCCAATACATCACAGATCACCCTGTACATCATTTTTGCATATGTAGTAACAAAGTACTGAGAGGATTATATTTACAAGGAAACTATGAAAATATATAATTGGTGTCAGTACTCACTTTTGGTCATGTGAAAGTGCTAAGGAGCGCACACTGCTGTCACATGCAGGGAATGCATACAACAGAGCCAAGTTGAAAGTCCGCCAGACTTCTACAATGCCCTTGTCACCACCAGTCATAAGATATTCTCCGTCTCGACTCAACAATAAGCACTAATCACACACAAACAAAATGACATAAATAACTTGCTTCGGTACTGTACTGCTTTACACCAGTCTTCACACATGTGGCAACAGAGAACTATACAATGGTTGGAAGATAAGTCAGTTGTTTATTCCGATTTTAAAAGTTTAGATCAGGGCTGTGAAAAGCATGGCCACCACTAGCATATTTTGGGGGTAGGGGGCAACCACAAAACTTGCTTACAAACTTATATTTTAACCATTTCAGAATATTTTATCAGCCACTTTTCAGCATTCAGGATCATAAAAACATATTTTCTTAAATTTTAATTTTTGATACCAATATCTGGTATTAGGAAAAAGAATTTGTTTCAGGAGTTACAGACTTGCAGAAATTGTTGCACTTATTGGAAGCAAAACATTTAAATGAAGACTGAGGCATTAGTACTGTGAAATGGAGTTCAAACATATTAGGAAATTATTATTTCTAAACCAAAATAATGTGGCACTTCTCAATAACAGTGATATATTCATACAATTTCATAATACCATATACTTATACAGATTTCAGAGTCCCTTTACACAATCATCCATGCATACTCTCTGTAATTTGGTCACAGAATTACAGCAAACTTCCCATTATCTGGTATGTATGGAGAACAAGATGTGCTAGGAACATCAATCTGCCAGACGCATGAGAAAAGTTCTTAGAGAAACCCAATACAAAGTAAAAAAGAAAAGTTTTCTCTTCAGGTTGTGAGAGGGATTCTTCCAAATAAACACTGGGAGATGTTGAGTGGACAAGACATATACTGTAATGTGATCGCAAGTTCCACTAACCTCAAACATAACTGCACATGCATGAGGGAGGACAATGGGTAGCACTGCCAGTGGTGGCTGTAAGAATGCCCACCTGGTAGATGAACATATGTGCATAGCAATTTGGTTTTGAATAACTATAGAAAAGGATAAATTTTCTTTCCTATTTTTGCAAGTTGCTCCAGATGCTAAAATACCATATAATTGAAAAATTATTGCATTAACCCAGTATGTTTGAATTTAGTCTAGTATAAGAACACCAGCAGTATGCTGAAAACAGAATCCAGTAACTGTATAAAGATGATAGAACAGTCTGTCACTAATTGCTAATGACAGATCCATATTCAAGATAAACTATAAGACAGACTTATCCCCTTACAAGAGATTCTTGTGCTTTATGTGGAAATACAATAACACATTTTCTGATGTAATCCCCTCTCCACACACACTCACATTTTAATACTTTACCTACCTGGAGATTGTCATTATGGGACTCATGTCGCAGTCGCTTGCCATTAATGGTAAATGCTGCCACATGACCACGTTCATAGTTCACAACAATGACACCTTCACGAGACATGGCAATGTTCTCTGGTGACAGAAAACCAGGTGGTGGTTCTAAAGACCGCAGGAGGTCCCCAAATGTTGTGTGTACCAGAACCGGTCCATCTAAAAGGAATTTTTTTTAAAATTCTCAGCTTGAATATCACCAGAAACAAGTTAGGACATCACTGAAAAATTGTGACTCTACAACCACTTTGGCATTTTAATGCTAAAACTGCAAGGTATACCAATGGCCATAAGACAATCAATAACACTGGCATGGCAGAAGTAATTATCTGAGGATATCTCTCATTCTGGGAAATTTTACAATGACTGACTACAATCCAGTTCCAAATTCTCTTCAATTTCCATTTCAAATTCTAATTATTTGAACTGTGGTGCCACTTGATGCACAGATATTAAAATTCTCTTGTTTTGTGATAAACAAGTATTTTGTTGGAGTTTCTAAAAGCAACTGGGCTTTGCCTGGCGCTGCCACGTACGAAGATAACTGTATCATCAATTCTAATTTTAAATCAAAGACAAGTCTCTCTCAAATTCTGTGTATCGCAGCATTTTGCCACTACAATAAGCTAAACCTGACATTCGGCTCCAACGACCCTCTGTACCTCAATCAAATCACTGTATTGAATTCAATTTAAACACTTCATACCAATATGCATATGTTCGCAGAAAATCAAATACCTGTTTTGTGATGTTACATGTACACACCTATCACAACATAGATAAAAAATCTGAATTATGTAAAATCTAATACTGTTAGTTAATATATCAAACAGGAAGAGATGAGTGCAACATACAGAATGCAAGAAGTTGGTGACACTCAAGATGTTCCCTTGAAATACTGTGAAAGTAAGCAGGCAAAACAGAAACAAACTTTGTTAGTGGGAGCCCAGCCCAGAACTTATTACTTGTATTCAGTAGAGTTTCCTTCAGTGAATTTTGTTTCACATAATTCATACATATGAAAATATAAACCAATTAAAGAACCACATTTTAGGTACTGAACTAAAATATTATAATGCATTTTATAATATATAGTACTTGCATCTTTTGTTTCAAAAACTAATTCTGTGTAACATCTTGATTGGAAAAGCATTATTTTTCAAACACACATTAACTCACAAATAGGTATATACAGCATAGGTTATCAGTGTGTGGTCTCCAGGTCACTAGTACTATGCCTCCACAAGGTTAAGCGGGGAAACATCAAACAGGATAAAGCCCAGCACTGTAGTGAGGACACAAACTGACTCTTTCCTTTGGATGCTCTTACTGCAGACAATACAACTTTGTTGGTTTCCACTTTTTCGTTGCTGGAATCACATTAGAAAAGTGCCTTTCTAAGGTACAAGAAGGTTTGGGTGACTTTCATGGCTTGCTGATGCTTGCTGTGGGATGATGGTTATTGTACTTCTCAATCAGCTTTTGACTAGCTTGATGAGAAACATCAGCTGTTTCTTCTTCCTTTTTAGCTCTCTCTGCACATGATAGGCGTTCAGTGAAAGCATGTCCATTAAGTGACAAAACATTTTCATAAAATATTTCTCCAGGCATTTCCTGGCCATAGCATATAGCTGTCAGCTGAATTAACATTACAATGCTGTAAGTTCTTACAACTACAGGATTCTTGTCTTCCAATTCATAACCATTTGCTTTCTTCTGAAAGCCACCATTGATTCACCAATTTTCAGTTTCACCATCTCCACCTTCTCTACTATTCCCCTTTTATTTAGTCTCACTGCTCCAACTCGGTCAACTTTTCTATGACATGTCTGTCAACAAAGTCAAGGCTGGTGCACCAGTTATCGACATACACTGTGTAACCTTTGTCTAAAAGTGGGTCAACCAACTCTAGAACAATTCTTGAAGTGGTAAGTTCACCTCCAAATATGTCACCATATTATTTTTTTTGCAACTAGTATACATTATAAAACTGCATACATACATGTTACTACTTTTTTTAAACTTGACCATGATCAGGATGTAAACAGACCATCCAAGTCTACCCTTCCACTCAAGGACAGCTACATTCACAGTAATGCTTCTCATTAGTAAGTAAATGTTTTGAAATCTGACCTAAGTATTCAAAAACAGGTTGCATTCTGAACAGCCTTCTGGCTTTAGAATTCTTACTGAAACTTTTACTGTTCACAAAGTGTAAAAACTTTGGCAGCAACTGATACCATTCTTCACACATAACACTGTTGAAAAACAGAGTATCAATTCTTTCATGCTTCAAAAAGTACATTCTGCTTTCTGGTTTCTAAATACAAACTTGCAATATTAGCATTCCAAAGAATGTTCTAATTTCATCAGAGTCTGTGTCCTTTCATTTGTGAACACATGACCTAGGTTTCATTGTTGACACATTTTGCCACAGGTATACGGTTCAGCATATATTTATATCATAAAAATGATATAAATTATTTCACTGTTCACACAATTTTCATTCACTTCCAAAAAATCATTTTTGCCACCTACATGTACCTCATTTAGCAGGGTATGGAAACTTGGTCATTCCTTGCATGTATACACCAAAAACCATGTGTCATTACTGTCATCATTTTTTATCTTCTGATGTGTAAAATGATCATCATCTGACATCTCCACCCAATCTTCATCACTTGATGGATCATCAAAATCAAAATCTATAACAACACTACAGATAATTCACTATGAATCTGTTCTGAATCTAACTGAGGCCTTTTCCTTACAGCCACTTTGGTTACGGTGACTACATATATACAAGGTACAGAGGCACTGTTAAAACTCACTGTACTCCATTTCATCCACTAAAATCTACAAGAACTAGCTGCATGCTGCCACTTTTGAAGTTTATATGGTACATCTTTGGTGATTTATTTTCTTTATTAGCAGACTTGTGGAAGATCAGACTGCTTTTTACAGGTTGGAACACTTTATACTGAGATTTTTTTAAATTATGCAAGAACTAACAAGTGGATAACGAGTATTTTTAATTTCTGCTTTTACAGACTGATTTACAGATTTGTGTGCTTACAAATTTGCCTAGAAGCTGAATACGCCCATGGGCCATATTTCCCACCCCCATGTGAATATTACATCTCACTGCCATGTAAGTCAACTACTCACCATTAAGAATGAAATGGCAAACACAGTCAGCAAACTCACTACATGACAGGCAAAAAGAGGATAATACAGACCAAATGACTTACTGTGAGATCCCGACACCACAAGCCCCAACTCGGCCGAAATCACAACACTGGACACAGGCTGTTCATGACCTGTCAAGGTGGCTCGAGGTGTAGGCACTTCACCTTCACCTACAATAGTCTGGGTCCGAGCATTCCAGTGCCACAGCAGAACAGTACAGTCAGCAGAACCCGATGCGATGTAACAGTCTGACGTAATGTTGCACTCAGACCGGGAGAGGCAAGTCACCACGCCATAGTGGCCAAAAACTATTTGCACAATTTTAGCTGCAATAAGGAATTCAATTCTTTAAGCATCTAACTCATAGATGGCTGACAACAGATACCAAACATTAATCAAATGGATAATAGATGTTGAAGGAGGAGGAGAACAGTCATTTAATTAACGACACTCTGAGTACCTCAGACTTCCCTACACAGTGAACAATAACAACCCTGTAGCAGCTCAGTTTTCACAATGGTGGCTAATGAACAGTTTTGTTGTCTAGGATATAGTGCAGTGTAATCCGCTGAAAGTCAACCAACGTTTTGAAGGAACATATTGCCTCCATCTTCAGGGTTGAAGAAAAACCCAAGCAAGAAACCAGCCTGAAACCAGGTGGCAACCAGAGGCCTTTCACTTATTCTTTGACCCTGAAGATGGAGGTGATATGTTCCTCTGAAATGATGGTTGACTTTCAGAGGACTACACTGCATTGTATCCCAGAAGACAGAACTCTTCAACAATAATAATCATTTACAATTATGAATATGCACACAAACAAAAATAATATTTTTATGATTTTTCTGAAGTACTTCATTTATTGAACAAAGAAATTGGTCTTCAAAGATTTGGTTTACATTCAGTTAACCTTTCACATATAACATTTAAAAACATTTAAAAACACGCTTCATCACTCACAGCAATGAAAGGTTAATCCTTTGCCACAGAATTAACCCTTTGCACACCATGAGCTAACTAGACTGGCTCAGGGTACTTTCACTAAAAGAGCCACAGCAAAAGAGATGGGCTTGGTGTTAATTATTTAGTACAGCATTTTTGTCAATAGTTGGCATCAGGTGCAACAGAAAAATGTTTACAGGAAAGGACAGATTTCACATGACAAATACCTGTAGTCATTTAAGGACGCATTAATGGTTTATATGCGCAACTGCATTTATTCTCAAGCAGCCTTGGTGTTTCTAGCAGGTAGTTCTATTATTGGGCTTAGCACTAAAAAGGTTGAATTCACTGAGTCTTGATGGCCAATTAATATACACACTATTTTTCAGCACTTTCAAGTCAAATCGCTCATTGTTAATAACAATTCAGTAAGTTATGCCTTTGTATCACAAAAGTGATGTTTTTAATCTTATATATATTTTTTTTTATAAAAAACTGACTTGTCCAATTGTACATAATGTAACAGTTATGGATGTTAAATAAATAAATCAATCAATCAATCAATCAATCAATGTAAATCATTAAAAATTAATAACCAAACAAAATAAATGTACTGATATGTTGGGATTTTGGACTTTATCCATCGTCCTGGTTTTTAAGATAACAAATAAAAACACGACGTTTCGGAAACTGGATCTGTTTCCGTCCTCAGGTGAAGGAAAACACCTATTCAGTTGGGTCCCTTAGAAAGAGCTAGCCTCAATCACTGGACCAAACCAGGACGATGGATAAAGTCCAAAATCCCAACATATCAGTGTGTTATACACCATCGTCAGAATCCTATAGTAACTACTTATCAAAATATATGTGTTAACATATTACATCTTCATTTTAGTAACACTATACTTGTACCATAAGTTGAATCATAGAAAAGATAAAATTTTGCTTTGTTATATTCTACTGTAGTTTCATTTATTCTCATGCAAATTACATAAGAAAATTAAGGAGAATAAACACAATGAAATGGGAACAAAAGCAATGAAGAGGTGCTGCACTTCTTCTGCAAAAAAGATTGAGTGGGTTAAAGCTTAGAGGTGGTATATCAACGCACTTAAGGTTCCACTGAGCCCTACTTTGTGCAAAAGTTGGATACATGGGATCATGACCTTCACTACAGCAAAGGGTCCAGCTCATTATTTTTGCCAATGAGTTATTTCAGTATTCAGAACAATTAATGCTCCCATGCCTTTGCTAATCTGAATTACGAACCTGTCTCAGTGGAGAATACTCGAAAACTGTTGTCCCAAAAGCCACATGCAACAAGGAAACGGCTATCCACTGTTGTAACAAAACAGTTTGACCTGATTCGGATCTTCTGGCTGAAATTGTCACCCAAATGGCGCCGCTGTGCAGGATTTGAGCTGTTTCCTGTCTGAGCTGCAATTAGAAAGCAGATAATGTCAATTTTCAGTTGTACTCAGTTAGGTATAACAGAAATTTTTGGGGAGGTCCTAGTGAGAGAGGTTCTGGTTCCTTCCCTGAAGAAGTATTTTATTTTATAGCTGGGCAGACACATTACTGAATATATCTACTGCAATGAAGTCTACTGTAATGAAATGAGAAACAACCTGCTAATAATACATCAAATGTACGTACAAGGTGTGGCAATAAAGAAACCGGATTCATGCTCTAACCCTTTATTAAAAAAAAATCAGACAGTCGAAATGTTATCCCCTTCAATGTAGTCCCCTCCCCGATCCCTACACCGCTCCATGCGAATTTTCCACTGTTGGAAGCAGTGCTGCAGGTCATCTTGTGTTATGCTCTTCAAGAGTTGCGTCGCTTTTGCTTTCACTGCATCCACGGACTCGAACCTGGTCCCTTTCAGCGCAGACTTGATTTTTGGGAAGAGAAAAAAGTCGCACGGTGCTAGGTCCGGAGAATACGGTGGATGTTCCATCACTGGAATGTTGTTTTTTGCCAAATACCTCTTCACAGATAGCGCGTTGTGTGCTGGCGCGTTGTCGTGATGAAGAACCCATGAGGCATTCTTCCACATGTCTGGTCTCCTTCGTCGCACACGTTCACGGAGGTACGTCAAAACATTTTTATAATAAACCTGATTGACAGTCTGACCTTCAGGCACCCAATCAATGTAGATTACCCCCCGGATATCGAAAAAAACAATCATCATTGCTTTGAATTTGGACTTGCTCATGCGCGCTTTCTTCTTCCTAGGGGATTTGGGGCTCTTCCAATGCATGGATTGTCGCTTAGTCTCTGGATCATATTGAAGAATCCAAGTTTCGTCACACGTAATTACGTTTTGGAAGAAATCAGGATCATTTTCAATGTTTTCAAGAGTGTCAACACAGCAATTCACTCGATGTTCCTTTTGCTGGGGGGTAAGGATTTTTGGCACCACTTTAGCACACACCTTTTTCATGCCCAGATCGTCGTGCAAAATCTGTCTAACACTTTCCTTATTGATGTTCGTAAGTTCAGAAATTGCTCGAATGCTCAGTCGACGATCTCTTCGAACAATTCTAGCGACCTTCTCCACATTCTCTGGAGTTTTCGCAGTGGGAGGACGGCCCGATTTTGGATCGTTCCCGACGTTTTTCCTACCCTCCATAAACTTCTTAAACCACTCGAAAACTTGCGTGCGAGATAGACACTGATCACCATATACTTCTGTCAACAAATTGTAAGTTTCAGTGGCAGATTTTCCAAGTTTTGTGAGGAATTTGATGTTAGCACGTTGTTCTGCATTAGCACTCAGCATTATTCCGACGGAGCTCAGAAACACGATCCGCTTCTAACAATGGTCGCGGCCAGACTAACCGATGCACGTGAATGAAACTTTGTGTGACGGTAGAGGGAAGTCCAAGGGTCAATGCCCTACCCTCCTCTTCGTCAATGACGTGGCCGGAAATGAGTCATAAAAGTAATCCGGGTTCTTTATTGCCACACCTTATTGCCACATTGTACAGCATAGACAAATGCCATAAACTCAAGTGTAGAGTACATCACAACACAGGAATCCACAAAGTCTTACAAATAATCTTCAACTCAAACATGGACAACTACTTTCATATAAATGGCTCGTCATACCTGAAAAATGTACAAGACTTCTATGATAATAAACTGTATGGACTTTATGATAACATTTTTTAACGTGAAGTGATCGGTCTTCTGGAAAATAACAACATGTAGTCCAGTGAAAGTCAACTAATGTTTCAGAGGAACATACTGCCTCAATCTTCAGGGCTGAAAAGTAAGCCAGGCAAGAGGGGACCAAGTCACCCCACCTGTCTCCTTGTGGCAGTCCCTGGAAGCAGCAGACTGGTCTGCCTGCAGGCAAAGTCTCGCTTGGCTGACTTAGGTACTGGTGCCCTCAAGAAATGATGTAGGTTTCTGTGCTGAGGCCTGAATAGCACTGAGGAAATAGAAAAAGCTAAAGCTAGCCCTGTAACAGGCTGTGGAGGTCCACATGGTTGTGAGATGTTGAGGCTCCCACATTTTCTAGACAACTGGCACACAAATGGTGGTGAGGTTGTCATAGCTAGGCAGGGGAGGCTCTGGTCTCAGATGCTGGGCCTCAAACTGATTCTAAATTATAAACCTAGCTGGGAACAGGTGGGGACTCTTGAGGGTCCTGCCACCAGTGACTTGGTGGGGGTCTCCCCCCTCCATTCTGAAAATCTCAGGCGTTGGGTTATCCGCTGTTGTGGACTTGCAATCAAATCTCTCAGGGGCTCCAGTAAGGGACCACTGAGGGCAAGTCTCTAAGAAATCTTTTAATAGGGGTGAATACCCTGTGAAGAAGAGGAATTAGACAGGCTAATGAAGAGGCAGGCCAACAGAGGAAGGTCTTCTCCAAGGAACTGAGGCCTTGGATGGCACTGGGTCATGAGTCAGCTGTCCGTCTGTGAACAAGAGTGGGTGGCTGTAGATTTTCCATCATCAGCAATCCAAAGAGAAAGATCTTCCTCTTGCACCAGAGGCCTATATTGTTGGCCCCTGCTGCCAAGAGGAAGTAGTCATTAGCTCTCAAAGGCTTCATGAGGAGAGTACAACTGAATTAACTGATTGGGGTGAATAACCCATCCATCAAGGTGAAGGAATGTCTGACCAGCAGGAGAAGCTGAACAAGAAGATATCATCTCTTGAGCAAAACTGAAGGTTTGGCTGGGGCTTTGTTGTGGGTCCAGCTGTGACCAGTTGTGGGGACTCCGATGTCCTAGTCAGTGAACAGTGAATGACAGAGGGCGTGTAGGTCATCCCACAGCATTGTGTCAGTGCTCAACATGAATGGGCATGGATCAGACCTTCAGCTCTGCACGAATAGAGCTGATGTAATACTGGTAGTGCACAATGCACCCATTAGAGGTCTGAGTGCTTAAGGGGCAACTACAAGTTGTCCTCTCCATGTCAATACTCAATACTCTAGACAAGTCAGAAAAAAAGCATGAAGCATGCAGCCATCATTTTTCGTATATTTAGAACTGAACAGAATATTCTCAATTATTTACTTTTACCCTCAAAAAAAGTCATGGTCCTGTATTTGGGATTTATAAAATTAGGCATAGGCAAGTCTCAAATTCTCAAGTAAAAATTTATCTTGATATGAATATCAATTTTTCATTCTCACACTCTACAAATTTTCTGATAGCTGTCGTATTTGCTTGAATAGAAGGTGAGTTCTTCCTCTTTTTGAAGTGTTATAAATCCACGAGTCACTGTCATGAAGTTTATAAAATTTTATGAATATGAATTGGATGGGAGGGAGGATGAGGAAGAGGGTGGGACTAATGGCAGTAAACATACCAGTGTGAGCACTGAATGTGATTCAATATGGGAACTGTGAAGTATGAAAGCTGAGACAAGGGACAGGAATGATGAACAGAGACTGGTGAAAGATAATGAATGCTAATGACTTCTAGAAGAAAAGTAATTCAACAGATTTCTTTTCTTTAACATGTTTGTAGTTAGATTATGAAATGTAATTCATAAAATTACATTGCTGTACACACATATTTCCTAGTGTGAGGGGGGTTGTCTTGCATTCAGAATCTTCCATTCAGGTAAACATAACAGCACCTTTCAGTGCACTCTGAAAAGGTGGTTATAAATCAGTACAGTGATAAACTGATCTAATAGAAAATGACTGTCATTCGTCTCCATTCTCAAAATTTGTCCTTACTCTCACCTTTATTTCATCTTGCCCTAAAAATCTTTCTTGCACCTGGGAGTGGGGTGGGGGATCTTTTGTACTTGCACTTAACTACAATATGAGGACTTCAAATTTGAAAGTACAGTATAAACACACTGTTCTCTTTTCCAAGACCAATTTTCAGATATGTTGTCATGGGAGAATCACAACTGTCCAAAATAGACAAAACTTAAATTTAGAGAGTGAAGTTAAATATGGGTTGCCCAAATTAAATTACATAAACTATTCAAATCACTGAAAGTTATGATTTCCCACGTGTACAGGTAAATATGGCAGTTGCAATAGTTTAATCAGTATAGTGAATAATCAAACAGATTTCAACACCTGGCAGAGGCAGAGATTTTTCTCTTCACCATCAAAATCAGACTGGCTCTGGATTCCACACAGCCTCCTATCCAGTAGATACCATGGTCCTTTCCACAAGGGTATATTAGTCGGGACACAAAATTGACCATTCATCTCCATTTCGAGCAAAGGTTAAGAATGTACGAAGCTATACTTCCCTTACCTCCTACATCTACAAGGCATGGCATTTAATTAAGCATAAAGTTAAATTTACCTTTTGCATCTAGCACTTTTCTGCAAAAACTGAATCAAAATTTGCAACTCTACTTACAAAGAACAGGATCCATTGAAAGTGGCAAATTGGCTGTTGGTGTTTGTGGTGTATCAGCATAACTTGGAGACTGCACAGAAGCTGAAAACATTTAATACATAGTACTAAAAATACTGCAAGGCATATAATTAACTCTTGGTTATCCAGAGTACCAATGTTTAAATCTGAACTTGGTTCAAAACATAAGTGATTGTCTGGATGTAAGAAGTGGTAACATAACACAGTCCCTTAAAGTGTAACAGATAAGTAAACATAACAGCACTAGAAGATTCTACTGAGAGATGTTACAAAACATGGGCAGTGAGCCATCAGATTCAGTGGTGGCATTTGTGTTGCTGATGCAAACTGTGGATGCTCAACCTCTGTAGTAAATAGATTACACATACCTGCATAGCTGGAATTCCAGCGATTAACAGCAAACTGCTGACTGGTAGTCACAGTGACCACAGACGGGAGCGGTAACTGAGGATAGGTGTTGGCTGAGATGTGGCATACCGGAGAGTTAGACAGGAACTTCATAGTCATGCATACATCTTCTGGCACACTAGAGAACATCATTGGGGACTGAAATGGATACAAATTTTGCATGAGTTGAATCCCAGACAACATAATTTTTGTTCCTATAAAATTCAGAAAATGTTCAAACTCAAATACTACAAATCTTTTGAAAATATGAACCACATCAAGACCTTTTAAAACTAATAATAATTTGTTGGATTTGGCGTCCTCAGAGCAATAACTATATGAAAAGGATAGTCTTGTGGGTTTTAATGCCATGTAGTCTGGAGCACAGCTTGCTGTCTACTTCTTCTGGCTTCCTGCTTGTCTTAGTCTTTGACCTTGAAGACAGAAGTGATACATTCCTCTGAAACATGGGGATTTCTCCAAACTGCATGGCTTTACAGCCAAGAAGACCGTACTCTCCATGATCACCATTCCCTAATTATTAATACCTATAATAATATAATACAGGTGGAGGCAGAAGAAAGTTAAGATGGCATCTGTAAGGAATAGTAGTGCCAACCTTGTCATGAATAAAATGAGCACCACAATTATTGGTCATATATTTTAAGCAAAAGGTGCAGGGTGTTACTAGAAGGATGATAAACATATGTAGTTCTTAAAGAGTAGTGGAACTGGTATTACAGTCAGTCCTTGCCAAACACAAATTTTTGTAACATGCTCTTGACTATATGAAAGTCTCCTCATGATGATTGTTCCTTTAAATTTACATTTACATTTATTTTCACTTCATGGATCCATTCACCTCCCCATAGGGCTGTATATAAAGCATGTCACACATTACAAATTCATGACGACAACACATCATATGTCCTTGGTCCAATAAAATAATCAGGCCTCACGCAGACAGTGTTAATTTTTTGTTTCTAAAAGAATCTTTTAATTCTCAAACTTACCAAGTGCATTGCTGAACTTCTAGGAGGATGTGGCTCCATCAGCAACTGTGATGGTGTCTGACCAAAGTTACGTATCTGATTCTCAATGGCCTGTAAAGAAGAGCAGTAACATGATCCTGTAATATGTGCTGACATCACCACACAGCAAAGGACTCTGACAAGATGGCTGTGATATGGTAGGCTCTAGGAAGCATGGCAAAGTGACAGTCAATCTGAAAATACCTTTAAAAGCAAGAGATACTTGCAATTAACAGCATTACAATACCCTACAGGTTCATGGCAATGTCTGAACAATTCTGTTAGATTTTGTCCACTGCAGTCCTGGTGACTACTGGTTTACATATGATTAGTACTCTGAGGACTTAAGGACTCAACACAACTGTAGCCAATAAAGCATCATCCTCACAGAAATATTTGCCACAATGTCACTTAAATCACTTTAAATCCTACATGGTCTGCTCTATGCCTGAACATGGATCTCAAGATGTGGTGTCTGTCAATCACATGGCCACGATACAGACTGTTAACCAAGTGGTACTGCTGTGGTAAGTATGAAGGATATAATTTATATATTACCAGCTGTTCAATCTGGAAATTTTCAAGGATTACAGAAGTCCATACAGAAGAATGATGGAATATTTACCTTAAAACAAACCATGTCTACATCTTTCTAAATTCTTGCATACTCAATATTCATGACCATCTTCCCATTTCATTAGACATTATAATATCTGATACAGTGGAGTCACATCATACATGCATTTAAATTATGTGAATTTAACCATAACCCCCGCCCCCAACTCAAAAGAGTTGGGTATAATAATAAGAAAGAATATAATAACTGTATGAGTAATTTGTCCACAACTCACTCTCCATCGCCCAGGCCTGTCCTTGCACCTCATGGACTGACATTAATCCCTGATTACACCCAGGTTTACTGTTTCCTTTTTTTTTATTCCTTTACTCTGATTTTTATGTAATTAGCAATAAAATTACTGTACACCTTACTGGTGTATGTGCCGTTTATTACATACATCCCTCCCTCATTGGCGCTACAGCCCTCATTTGGGCCTAGGCCTACCTCCATGAAACTCTCTGTTTCACTTCAGTTTTACTAGATCTTAGACATACAGTAGGACTCCTTGGGTGGGTGATCAGCTCATCGCAAGGCCTCTACCCGTACACAAACACAGAAAAACGCACACAAACATCCATGCCCTGAGTGGGATTTGAACCCATGATCCCGGCTTCCGAGCGAGCGAAGACAGTGCATGCCTTAGACCGTTCGGCTACCGTGACCGGCTTATTATATACATATATTTTACAATATATATACAAAAGCATGTATTTTATGAGCAATTTAAGGGATTTTCAACAGTAATTCTGACCATGCATTATTTTGGGTTCATGCGCTGTCTTTAAAAATGTAATCCCTGCATAAGATGTAACTGCACTGCATTTAAATTAAATTATATAACCCAAAGAAAGCGTTAGTACAATACAACAAAAATATTTCAATGCAGACCTGAAAGTGCAAATGTCCTTTACCTCTTTCATGACGGGATCAGATATACTGTCCATATCTACACTGCCTTCATATGTGAGGTAGTAGAACACATTTGTTGCTCTAACAGCCTCTGGACCTGTGTAAGAACCATACAATTGTCAGCATATCCTACAAAGCAATTTAAGAATGCACTTTGAGTAGTATCACCTATAATCTCTTGCTTCCTTTGTTTAGGTTCCAGTTTCCTGTGGCACTCCTCTCATAGACTACCTTATGTTCAATTCCTCCTTCTATCCTCTATACTTATACATTTTTTCCCCTTCCTTTATCCTTGGGACTTTGGAGCCACAAGTAAAAGGCTCCTCACAAGCCAATAGGCACTCTGAAGGCTCAAAGGGCTTCCAGACAGTAAACTATGGTCATGAGAAGGATCACTGTGCTGACGAGGGCCAGCAGCAAATTAGGAGTCAGTCAGTCAGTCACAGCCACTCTGGTCTCAGCCTGCAAATCAAAAAGCTGTGTCGCTTGGCTCAAATTTAGTTCAAAATTCAATCAGGTAGAGCTTAAGTAACTCAATACTTTCAGGATATCTTGCTACAATACCTTTGATGATTCAAAACAACAATTTTAATGCTATCAATTTTTATGTCCACAAACAACTGTAAAGAAAAAAAAACATTTCCCTAATGATGTTGAACAAATCAGATTTAAAAAAGTATGGATGACAGATGAACTCTTTACTGCAGTTTTGCCACCACAATGTCAAAATTTACAACAGACATTGGAAAACTTGTCACTCATCATAGGAAGCATCATCTGTTGTACTAATATGTTGTCAGTTATCACCTTGTTGATTCTGAAGATATTAAAAATATATATTTCCAAACTGGCAAAACAAGACTTCTTTCCTGCCCAAAAAAGCACATGACATTTCCACACATTTGCCCATGTCTATTCTATTGCACGGGCTTCACACTCATGTTTCATAAGCAATGGGAGATGCGTCTGCTTGGCACTATTATCAGAAACCTGACTCACCTCTTTGCTTGTAGCCAAAGATTAGATCAATCCACTGGTGCAACTGGCAGGAAACAAACTCAGACTCCAGGGCCTATTGTGCAAGAAAGTATCAGTGTAGGAGTACAATATTTTTTATGATATTTCTCAACAAGACAGTATATCATACAACATATCTATATAGCATGATATATCTTTAAAAAATAAAAGATAATTACTACCGTAAAAACAGTAAAATTCTGATTCGTGTTATCTTTCGTACCATCCGGTTAATTCGAGCAAACTCCTCTGGAGATGAGGCCCATGGTGGAAGCTCAACGTTGCCAACTGCCGTTCCATCTTCCTGTTGGCCTAGTCGGTAGCGATTTGCATTCACCAACATCTCGGGCAGGAAGAAGAATTCAGGAATCAACTCCTATAGCGAAATGACACATTGAAATTGTTAATCTAAACAGCCTAAAATGTTAATCCTTTCACTGTAGATAGAAAGCTCTAGTGCACATGATTCTAGGCTGATCAGTGATGAACCAGGAATGTATGCAAATGGGACAATGAGTTGGAAGAAAATCTTGCCTTTGACCCTCATGGTGTGTAACAATGATTGGTATAGACTTTAGCTGTGTCAGTTCTCCACTTTTGAGTAACATATGCACACATTCACACATATAATCCATGACACTGAAAGTGTTTCAAGCACTTTTCACTTTATGGACGGAATATTTTCAGAGATCACAAAAGAATCAGATTACTTTAAATTTGGAAGTACTACTGATGATAGAACAAAGGGTATGTTTAGAGCAAAAAGTTCTGAATATTAAAGGCCATGACATGGGCTGCAACTTATGACAAGGGAACAGATTCCAAACTAGGTACAAGACTGAACATTATACTTGGTCTGAAACTTCACCAGGACAAACATATTTCAGCAGATTGGCAGATGCTTAAATTTGATTCTCTGCTGCACAGACACAGGAATGACTGTCACGTGGACATCATACTCTGATGTCAAAGGAATGGGGTGAACTTCTCCCCTGTGAGATGATATGATCTTTGTTGGTTTATTATTTGCTTAGTAATTTGGTTTACTTATCACTGGACTGTTGGTGATAGTAAAAAGGACATTTATTACATAAGCCTAGATTATATATTGAATGGTGAATGGACGATTAATTTTGCCAAGGGTGGCTGAATTTTACCAATTAAATAAAGCTAATTAAGGAAGCTATTCAAAATTTTTTCAAGCTGTGAATAACTGACAAACAACAAGTACAATACTAAAATTACAATCTTCTTGGATGTGACACAGTGCCATTTCGTAGCACAGTACCTATCTACCAAACTATATGGCTTCATATTCCTCCAGAATACGTAGTGTAGTATTAATATACAGTGCCACAAGACACATGAGGGTCATGCAACTAACATAACATCAAATTCTCTATTGTGTGACAGGCTATGAGCAACAGATCTGTATCTGGTAGAAATTAACTTCATGCTAAATGGGGTATGCAAAATAGCAAAAATTTGGAAAATATATGTACTTCACTAGAATACAAATTTTCACTCTTGTTTCTTACTATGGAAGTTCTCAAGCCAGTGGGTTCTGAAGAAGACAGGAAAGTCTTAACTACCTGTGTGACTAGCAGCCTCTCAATAACTTAATTATAGTTAGCTATTACAGAAGAAACTATGTAAATTCTTGTAGAAAAATGCAAAATTAGCCAAATGTTTTAATGATTTTACATACCTTTACATCAGAGGTATCTCGCTGGCAGCTCTTCCATGAGAGTGCAATTGAGGAGAAAAGTCGATTTGGATGATCAAATTTGCCTCCCTGAAGAGCCAGGAACATGGTTGTCATTGGCTCCTGTAATATAATTAGACTATTACTATCGCACTGGGGCACACAGTAGAGTAGTTGGTTAAGGCACTATGCTACAAGCCAGAAAGTCACAGGATTGATACCTGATGAGGTCACTGGAATCTTCAATTGACCTATTCCTTCCAGCCGCATTATGGCCCTGGGGTCAACTCAGGCTCTAAGACAAATGAGTACCAGGAATCTTCCTGGGGGTAAAAGGCAGCCAGTGTCTAAGGCTGACAACCTCACCGCCATCAGTGAGCTGACTGTCTAGAAAATGTGGAGGCCTCGTGGCCCCACAACCCTATGGGCCTCTACTGCCTGTTACAGGGATGGCTTTATCTTTTTTATTACTATCCCATCATACAAAAAATATTTTCCGGTATTTGCAAAGTCAGATGGTCATGAATGATTCTGTACACTTCAGGTAAAATTGAAGTAGGATGAGAACTGACTGGGTACTGGTAGGGGATGATGAACATTTTGATGTAGCAGTGAGGCTCGAACTATGTTTCTGAAAGCAATTTGACATCCATTCTTCCAACTTGTGGAGTCTACCAAAATAAGGGGCACAATCTGGAACCAGAACATCATATATGTTGTAAAGGCAGAAACACTTCAACCAAAATTTGAGACATTAAGGAGAGATAAAGTGAGGGGAGAAACTCAAAAGAGTACGAAAAGGGTGCACACAAATACAAGCCCACAGATGAACAAAGGGAATAGAGGAAGCTTTGTAACAGGACAACCTATACTGGCAGAAACACCATTGAATGAATGAATGAATGAATGGATTAATTACCTGATTAATGAATTAATTAAGAGGGAAGAAGAAAATGATAACAATGACTATGATGATGATGATGAATGGCTAGAGTAACCACAGAGTCATAAAAGGTAGGCTCATAAAAAGTGAATGAATGCCAAAAATGAAACTGAACTAAATAAGGAAAATAATCATTCCTTCATATGTTTACAATTAAAAAACAAACTCCGTGGTTTTAGTCCGCAAGCGAACTATACCAAGGGAGCGATGGCCGCTTGTCAGCGAAGTTAGGGCCAACTTTAGCGAATAGAGGGTGTCACGTGGTCAGCGCAACAAAACCCATTGACCGTTAATTTCGGTTTTCTAGACTGGAGCCTCTATTTCCTTGAAATAGCTCCTCAATTATCCTCATGAGGCTGACTGGACCCCGTTTCAGACCCCCTACTTCTCAGAAAATCTGGTAGCACCGGGAATCGAACCTGGGCCTCTGGATCTGTAGCCAGGAACTCTGACCACTACATCACAGAGGCGGTCATGTTTACAATTCAATATACAGTCTTAACTTGTAGAAACTGTAGCTTGTCACAAGGTGATAATTCCTCCTGTTAAAGGTCTCAGTTTTGAGAATAGCCAGCCCCAAAGTGAAATTTTTTCATTTCATCAATGTCAAAGTAAAAACTTTCTAAATGTGGAAAGTACTACTGGACTCATTGTGGTTGGATACAATATTCTCATCAAAATACAATGAGAACACAGAGACTTTTACCTCATAGCAATACAATTTGAGACAAAGGACGAAAGACAAGAAGCTCTGAAAGGAAAAGTTTCAACTTACCACTCGTATCAACCAGTTGAGAACGAATGCTGCTGTGGAGTAGTGTGTACCATAATGGAAAGGTGGTATACTGTCATGTTCCCAGCTGTTGTAGCGCTCTTCAAAATATGCTCGCCGACTTGGATTCAGTGCACCAATAGGCTATAAAAATAATTAAAAGGTCTTCAAACCACATAGAATGTGACCTGATTAGCATATGTAATTTTCAGTTAGTAGTGATCATCAGCGGTAATATCACCTTACTTCTGCATATGATTTTCAATGACCATATCTGTGGCATAATTCATTGCTAATCGGGGGGGAGGGGAGGGAGACACAAATAATTGAAAATATGGACAACCCAACAATAATCTGCAGCTGTAATTGTTGAATGTAAAAGTCTGAAACTGTATGCATACTGTCCCATTTGTTTTCTTGTCTTGAAAACCATAAAACTAACAGAAAAAGTGTAATGAGCATAAAATGTATGTTTTGCATTTCTCATTAATCTTTGTTGAAAACAAATGTTCAGGGAGTTATGTTCAAGATATGCACAAAAAGACAAGAAGGTTTATAGTGGTTGCCAAGATGTGTGACCTAAATTAAAACTGATATGGGCTGACAATTATACATAACATTTTTGAGCTTCCAATTTCATGAAACTCTCTTCAGTGGTTCTAGAGCTTTTCTCTGCATGAAAATGGAAGGACTGACTCGGCAAACTTAATGGCTGACCGGCAATGTTCAGAGGGCCTAAACAATGCACAGTCAAGCTGCAGACAGGATAATCAATGCACTGGGAGCCAGCAATACACCCTTTGGTGAAAATTAATTACAGAGTTTAATAAATAATACTGTATATTAAGGTTTATACTATAAATTTAGTACTACACACTGTGATTAAAGTAACAGCATGGACACAAACATCAGCAAAGGAAATGTAAATAGTGACCATGTTTCAAACAACAGTGGATACTACTGCAAAAGTCTTAAGTAACAGCCACATTTGAAACAGCTGCTGTGCAGTAGCAACAACACTGTACACAATGGTCAGACGTTGAATGTACAAAGCATAGAAAAGTAGCATCAAGTCATGATAAACTCTTCCGTCAGTTCAGAGAAACTTATTTCTGAAGATGGAAGCAACTAATCACTGTGAAACACTAGACATTCCACGGTGCTGTGATGGAAAAGACTTAAAATGTAATTAATTTCACTGTGGAAACCTTATAATTGTTATGTTGCATAATCTTTGCTATGCATTACATATTTAGATGGTATTGTTACCTTTGAGAGGTCACGATAATTGCTGGGCAGGCTCAGATCCAGTTCTTTCGTCTCATAATTTGTTAGAACCCATGGGAATACTGGATACTGGTTCAAGTCATTGTATGTCCGACCTGCACAAAACATAAATCCAAACTGCATAAATACTGTGAAAATGTTACAAATGTAACACTTCCTTCCTACATTCCATCAAGACAACCTGTAAAAACTAATTCAGCAGTTAATGAATAGGAATATTTAAGCAATAATAATGGTCACAGTAAAGAGGTTTTTGTTGACATGAAATTACACAGAGTCTAAAATATAAGTGAAAGAACAACAAAAAGTATTTCTTTCGGAAGGTACGGAAAGGAAATTCACCACTCTGCCAATTCTGTTATTTGGATTACAGAACTTCAGAAAAAATACAAAAAAATAGAATATAGGCAGTAGAGATGCGTTCTGAAGTATATTAAGTCTTTAGGAGCAAAATTTGGACAGTAGGATGATTGATGCATGTAGTGCAGTTGGTGGAATGAGATCTGGCATGGGACACTAAAGTACTTGGAGAAAACCCACTCCGGTGCCACAAATGTGTTATACTGTCACGTATTCGGGGTTCCGTGACTAATAATAACGAATTCTGGATTGGATGATTGGATTTACTGACATTTCGATTACAAACCAATTATAACAGCTCACAATCAATGACTGTGTCTGGTTCTCTCTATACCTAACTGGACTACGAGTGTCTTCTCTTCTACTGCGACTGACTTGGTTCTGATTTAAAATCGGTCACTTCTTCAGCTTCCGTTGTCCGCTGGTTAGCACTCCACAGCTGGACACTCCAACTTCTGAATTTTCTTACGATGGATTCACTGAACTCCCTTATGAATCAACCAATCTATGAATTCACGAATCAATTCTTTTTTATAACTCGGGGCGAACCGACGGGGCCTAGCAACTTGCTACCCAAGCAACGGAGGTCCTTCCACTGTTGACTGCGTAACGTCGGGGAAGTGTTTACCGAACCGTTGTCTAGCAATGAACTATACCATGTCTGTTCATTGCAGCAGGAACATGTGTCAATTCCGTAGCGAGCCGTTGTCTAGCAATGGACTATTACGGTTTTCAGGCGTCATGTCACAATATTTCCTGATAGTTTGGATTTGTGAGTGTTCAATAAATTCAATTATCACTCCAAACCCCACGTTTAGTCACTAACAAGTGACAACATGTTTGAGTTATGTCCCTTTCGCTCTAAACAATCAAATTAAATCACAATTAATAACGTTGTCAGAATAAACGTAAAACATTTTCTTTAATTCCCAAGGGGACATTTTCATGTTTCTGATATTGCTCCAGCTGATCACACACACAGCAACCTTAAAATTCCAAAAGAAGCGCTGGAGAGAACTAGACTCCGGAGACATATTTATGGGCGCAGGCCTGCGTTGATTTACGTAATTGGCCTCGGAAATGAAGGATATGTATACTGGACCGTGTTCCTTCTCTCAGCCCCTGAGAGCACGGGATTAAGGCGCCTTTGAACAGGCCGACGGCTTGGCTCTACCGGGCCGGGTACACCCCAATACAAAAAGGAGATGCCGGCAAAACACATTATAAAACCAGGATAATTAATTTGGAAAACACTGTTCTCCGGGCCATAACTTTCATCAGAATCGTGGCTGAACCGTATAATGCACTCCACAGGAGGTATCCGCCGCGGCCCCATCCTCCAGCTCATATATTTATTTATTCCTGATTTATCTGACAACGTTTTCAGTTGTTCAGATTACAATAAATATAATGATATGATGATTACTGAATGATAAGTTGGAGAAGTTACAGAAAGAGGCGTTAGTGGCCTGATTTAAGGTACTATCCCGGCATATGTTTCGAATAAAAGATAAAGTTGTCACTGTGCTTCATTAATTAAGCACTATGCCATGAAGACATATGGGGATGTGGAGGTATAGCTCAACCACTGGCGACCTCGGCACTAGATGCAGGTCAGTGGTCAGCTTCACGCTCCGATCGCTTTATCCCCGGGGAAATCGCCTACGGTGCCCATTGGATAGGAAGCTGTGTGGTCCCCAGAGTCGGTCTTAAAGCTACGGAAAAGATACTAATCTTTCCCTTGCCCTGTGGCCAGAACAGCTGATTCTGTATGTTTTAGTTGTGGTGAAAAATCCCACTAAAGAGTGTGAAAGTCTCATAACAACGAACTTAAAAGCTCTATTATGCATGAGTAACTAAAATTTATACGTAACAATGTAGACACGTTTTGGCATGAAACAATATATCGTGGAATGATCGCAGTTGCACTGCGCGGTTACCATGCCTACCGCTGAATTACTGTTTTGCACAGTGAGTGTTACGCCCTATGTATGTAGCATAACAGACAACTGTAGGTCGCGGTGCAAGGGCCGAGAAGGCACATCCTGTACATTCAAGTAGCACACATGTCTGAATTAACTGTTTGCGACTCAGAAATTATTCTAAAGCTACTCCCATTCTTTCAAGCTTCGAGAATTAAAAAGTGCTGTGTTGTAAGCTTATTTATCTTCAGTATTAGCTACGTTTCTCCTACAAGTTTTGGAAATAAATTTCACAGGTCCATCAGCAGTAATGAGGAATATGTACGATACAGGAATTAATCAGAATGTTGGCAGTAACCGCCCCTCTCCCTACTGTTCAATACCGCTGTATACCGGAAACGATCGTGTGCCTGTTCTAGCCACATCCCATCTTCACAATCCATTTCCGTAACGTCAGTCCATCAGCAGTAATGAGGAATATGTACGATACAGGAATTAATCAGAATGTTGGCAGTAACCGCCCCTCTCCCTACTGTTCAATACCGCTGTATACCGGAAACGATCGTGTGCCTGTTCTAGCCACATCCCATCTTCACAATCCATTTCCGTAACGTCAGTCCATCAGCAGTAATGAGGAATATGTACGATACAGGAATTAATCAGAATGTTGGCAGTAACCGCCCCTCTCCCTACTGTTCAATACCGCTGTATACCGGAAACGATCGTGTGCCTGTTCTAGCCACATCCCATCTTCACAATCCATTTCCGTAACGTCAGTCCTTTAAGATCCTGTCTCTTTCTTCAATTTCTGACAATGTTCGGTGGTTGTGCGACTATCCTCCACTGCCACGTTCTATTCGCTTATTGATTTCAAAACAAGTTTAGGCCTCATAAGGCCATCCATCAAGTGTATTACACGATGTAAATTCTTTCATCGTATTTTTCTCATATTGAGATAAATGACAATTGAAATAATGTTTGAATTTTGATCAGATTTGAGTTAATATCTGAGGTTGAAACTGTGTTGTAACCCGCTGTACGTCTCCAAATGTAGTTGCATGGGCGTTGTCTTGGTGTTTTTTGTTTCATGCATGTTAGTGGTTGATGGATGGAGCATACTGGCTCAAGATTCAGGGTATGGTAATGAATCCATTAAATTAGGATGTGGCTCGACCAGCTGAGTAACTATCGCCTTCTTAAGGAAGACTATGCGGAGTAAAGTTAATTTTTCTTGACACGAAACTCTTTTTTTGGTGTTGCTAATGAACGAAGAGGTGTACCAATATACTATGATTATCGGCAATGACATGAGAGGGGAACTAATTCTGTCGATTGGGCCCAACTGTGTAGGCTTCTTACCCAAGGACGAAGTCCAGTCCTCGAAACGTTGCCTCACTAAAAAAAAGGACAGGATGCTTGGAAAAAAAATCCGTGGCTTTAGCCCGCAAGCGAACTATACCGACCGAGCGACCGCCGCTTGTCGGCGAAGTCAGTGCCAACTTTAGTGGATAGAAGGTGTCGCGTGGTCAGCGCAACGAATCCCCACGGCAGTTAATCTCGGTTTTCTAGACCGGAGCTGCTACTTTTCCATTCAAGTAGCTCCTAAATTATCCTCACGAGGCTGAGTGGACCCCGTTCCAGACCCACTACTTCTCAGAAAATATGGTAGCGCCGGGAATCGAACCCGAGATCTCTGGATCTGTAGCCAGGAAATCTGACCACTAGATAGGATGATCACAGGATGACGGATCATGTCCAAAAAGTTAATAATAGTACAATTACTTTGACATGCTGTAGCAACAATGAAGTGCACTGAACACGAAGAGCCACTTCGGTGACAAATGATAACAGAACGCCTTATGAATTGCAGAGCCCTAAATATCTGTGGATACTGCGCGGAGCGGCCAGAGACAGTACTAACATTAATACCGCCATCTGCACCGGTCGTCGTAGCTCATACAAAGGGCGCTCGGGTGACGTAAAGACACAGAAGACCTCTTCATCAGTTCTAAAAATGACCCGCCAAGCGACTGATGACAGGAATATCACATTGCCGCAAGCACAAATCATTCGTTAACGATAAACTGCAAGAAATTCAGTTTTAGCCTGATTTATTGTAATGATACGGCACGTCACTGTTCGTATGGAGTGCAGATCCGACCTGTAAGTGTGATTAATAGGTACTTTTTGTGCCTAAGACTTCCAGTATCGCTCGTTTTAGCTTACTTTCCTTATTTACAAAAAAAAAAAAAATAAAAGTAGGCTTACGCCCGTGTATCACCCCTTTTCAACCTCTGAATAGCCGAACCAATCTCTAAGAAACTTGGTATTGGTAACGACTCTAATTTTGACACTTCTGGGGGGAGGAAGCGTGGTGAAGGACGAAGGGACCGTCAAGAGGGGACGGGATGTTAACAGACATACTTACTGCGCACATCAGTTAAGAACGTATTGCCTACTAGCGTACTTGTGGGGGCTCAGCTGCACTGAAATAATGCAATTGTTTTGGCTCAGGTAGTAGTTGCTGATCCATGCTGCTACCACTCCTTTAATGATTCCGACTATCTGCATTGCTCACAACTCTCGCACCCGAGCCCATCTCAGGTGCGTACTTCAGAAATCCCTCCCATCAGTCTGCGTGTCTACATGTGTATTCTCTTATCGTTGCTAGGCAACAGCTAGGTAAAAACGTTACTGCGGCAACGAATACACATAAAACAATAGAAGAATTGCTGGACCCGTCATTCTCTATGCGGTCCGTGTTGTACCAGGAAAGCAGGGGATCAATTCTTCCAAGAACTTATTGCATACAA